TTCCCCAGGAGGTCAACAGGGGCTTCATTTCTCTGAGGGACTGGAGAGTCCTTGGGGCTCCTGGAACAGAGATTTTCACCCAGAGAGAAAATACTTAATTCAGATGGCTGCTCAGCCATATTGCCTCTGAGAGCCCTCCCAGAAAGCAGCCTCCACCTAAGACTTTCTATACTTTCTCCCTGCTTTTGTAGCAGTGTGCAATATTCTGTTTGTTAATCTGAGTATTCACTGTTTCTCTTGCTAAGTGGTGAGCTTCACCAGGGCAGGGATTTTATCTTGTTCACTGCTAGAGCCCCAGCACCCAGAATGTTTATTGAATAAATATGAATTGAATGAATGGTTGCCAGGCACTGTGATCCCAGGCCCAGCAAAGGGCTCCAACTGGGCAGGCACCACATGCTGGGTTCTCAGCCTCTTGTTCAAAGATCTTTCTCTGTTCCACTTCTGGGCTGGAACTGGGCATGGGCAGGGAGGCCTCCATACTCCCAGCTTAGAGCTCAGGCTCGGGCAGAACTGGCTGGAAAAGGATGAAGCTTGGTGACAGGCTGTGGAGTGAAGATACAGTCTGGTTACCTCCACAGCCTCACCATTCATAAAGTATTTTGTTGTCCAAAATCAGTCCATGTTTCACTCCCAAGTTTACAAGTAGGGAAATAGACTCAGGTAAGGATGTGATTTACTTGACTGTTGTTTACCGAGCAATGGGGATCTTGGACTCTTGTTTACCATCTCTGTCCTTAGACCTGTTTGCCCTTTCCTGGCCACCACCCATTCCTATATTCAGCCTTCCCCAGAATCTTACCCTGCCTGCCAGCACCTGACTCTTCATTCAGTCATTCATTTTTCAAGGGGAGATGGGCATGGACATGAGTGGTTGGGGTCAGTGCTACCACAGGCTTGGAGACATATCCAACCCAGCACTGCCAACCTAGGAAGAAGTAGAGGGTTAGGGAAGACTGTTTGGAGGAAGTGAGCTATTCCCAAGGGGAGAAGGGCTTTCTGAACCTGACATGTTGGTAAAATCCACACTCCCTAATGAGGCCCTTCACACTCTGCCTTGTGCTGTTAGCCACGTTTTTTCTCTTCACACAGTCCTTGAGCTGCTCAAAGGTGACCTGTCAGGCACTGTGATCACACTCCCTGACCTGATTATCTCCTGCTAGTCCCTGCTGGGAGTGTTGCCTCTTCCAGGCAGCCTCCCCTGGCCCCAGACTAAACTGAGTCTCTTCCTCTGGGTTTCTGTGGCTCCTTCACCTCCCTCTGTCACACTTTATTGAAAACCTAGCTTCCCTTGGCCTACTTCCCAG